ATGAATCAATATAAATCTTTCTATCTTTTGAAACTTAGATTCATTGAAATGAATAATGACAATTAGTTATTCCTGAACTACTATTTTTGGAGATGGAAGAAATTTCAAAATCCATTTAGAATTTTTTTAAATACCAGAAGTTCACAAAATGTTCATGGAAAATGCATATTATGAAAAAGACTGCATATGGATTTCAGAAACCTTTTTTTTTTTACCAAAACAAACTGAACTTTAATTATATATTTACATAAACTTATTGAAATATTCATGTGAGGTATATGAATCAAAGATCTTACTGCTTTTTCTTCTAAATAGATATGTCCACAGCATATTTTAATATGTCATCATTCCTCTGTAATCCCTTAAAATGTAATCTTATTTAATCACACCTTAAGTTCTCAAACATGTGTGAGTGCATGCAATCTGCTTCTGTATTGTCTTATTTTAAACATTTACACTTTGGAAAGTCAGAGTTACCTCTCTGAATGGCCACAATGCACGGGCCAAAATATTTTCTATTGCTTATATCTCACTGGTCTAATTACCTTCTAAAATTTTTAAATTTATTATCTTAACTGATGCTTTTCTGTAACTGTTAGTGTCTGCCTGATTAAGACCCCTCCTCCAACAAACAACAACAAAGAGGAATGATTTGGCCTTTTTTTCTGGCCATTCTAGTAGTCTTCCATACAAACTATATAATGATGTTGTCCAGTTCCATAAAGTTTAAATTCTAGAGGACAGCATTATAGCATAGTAAGTAAGGTTACTGCTTGTGGGACTGACATTGCACATGGCACTGTTTGAAGTTGTAGCTGCTCCCATGTCTGATTCATTTCTCTGTTTATGGCCTGCAAAAAGAAGTGGGATGGCCCAAGTACCTGTGCTCCTGACACCCATATGGCAAGCCCAGATGCGGTTCCTGGCTCCTGGATCCTAGCTCTTGGATCTAGCTTCATTCTTGCTCTGGCCTGGGTATTGTGACACTTGGGAAGTGAAGCAGCAGATGGAAGTTTTGTCTCTCTTTTTATATCTCTGTAGCTCTAACTTTAAAGTAAATAAATCTTTTCTAAAAAGTTTAAATTCTGGCCAGCCTTGGGCATAGTGAGTTAATTCACCACCTATGATGTTGACATCCCATATGTGTGCCAGTTCATGTTCTAGCTGACCACTTCTAGTCCAGCTCCCTGCTAATACACCCGGGAAATCAGCAAAGGATAGCTTGAGAATGTGGGTACCTATACCCATATGGCAGGTGCAGAACAAGCTCCTGGCTCAAGGTTTTGCCCAGGTCCAACTTTAGCTATAGGGAGTGAGCAAAAAAAAAAAAAAAAGGAAGCTCTCTATGACTCTCCCTCTTTCTACCTCTGCCCTTCAAATAAATTATCCTTCTAAAATTTTTAAATTCTAGGGAATTTTATAATCAATACAAACATCTATTATTTTATGTTATCTTCCCAGATAGAAACACATTCTACCTTTCAACTTAATTATTTAATTTGAAAGGCAGAGAGACACAGAGACAGAGCGAGCACTCCTCAGCTGGTTCACAAAGCCCCCTCCCCAGGCATGTGATATCAGGAAGCTGGAATTGGGAGCACAGTCAAATGCAAATCTAGGCAACCAGAGAGGGGATGCAAATACCTCATTGATTTCATAGCTAAAACAAATACCTTCCACTCTTTATCAATATAGATCATGCTTTATGGCCTTCAATAAAAGCATACTTTGTATGTATTCCTTTTATACTTAAGTTGTTATGAAGTACTTTATACTTTGTCATTGTACAAGAGTTTCATTTTTCCTTTCATTTCCTTAACTCATCCAGATAGCAATAGCTAGCAAAAAATGCTTAGTGAACTTTTGGATATTGTAGCAATTCACCCTACTAAATTTTCTCATTAGATATAGTTTTTATGCTGATTCCTCAGGTTGCCTAAGGATTTAATTGTAATGGAAAGTTCAGATTGTTCTGTCTCTTCTTTATCAACATCTACACAGTACATTTTATGTAACTTTTTATTTCAACAGCTAGAATCATCAAAATAATGCTGAGTAATAGTAATGACAGAGAACTTTTCTGTCTTGTATACAATGGAAGTAAGATACATATATTGTAACATTGTGATTAAAAGCCAAACTACAAAAGGATGAATATTTGTTATTTTAAGAATGGTTGAATAAACAATTCAGCTCTCTCATTAACACTTATGTAACTATTTAAAAACCCAGTTTGAGTCCTAAAAAATGACACGGAAGAATATTCATATAGTTTTGTTTGTGATAGAGAGGGCCAAACAGTGATATACACAGTGCAGTTCTGCTTGTTTATATCTTTGGCCTATTTTCCTTCTGAATCGCAGTCCGTGTGCCATACTGGACTGATGAATGAATGAACCATGCCATTCATAGCTGAAGAATGCCTATCCCTAAATTGCAAGAAAAAAAGTTGTTATTAGGGAGTGAGAAGGGACATAAGCCCAGGTAGCCAGGAAGTGCTTTGGGAACCATTTGTTTCAAGAGGCAGATGTCCATTGATAATTGTGGTCTGAGTGTTGTGCAGCAAGTAAATGCTACATGGGACCAAGATAAAAGTGAGGCAGTGCAGTAGGTCAGGAAAAACAGCACGAGAATTGCCATTAGGTATTGGGGTTCCTAGTAAGGAGAATGGCCAAACCAGGGGCAAAGGCACTCAGGAATATATGCTCTAATATCTCCCTGGAGGAAATGGAAAGTGAAAGGTTTTGGCTTTGATTGGCTATGGGGGTCACAGCTTTGGGAGTGCTCAAGAAAAGATCATGGGACTGTCAAAGACCAAACAAGGAGAGTTTCACAGTTCGGTGAGCAGTCATCTCTTCAGTCTTGTGAATTATAATCACCACCTCTTCAGTACCTCCCTCCAAGTATCTTCTTGGGCCAGAGAAAGTGTTAACTTGTAACATCCACAAGGATCTGGGGTTGTGCCCTCAGTAATGACACCAGCCTGGGGGAGTACTCCTTCAAAAGAAAAGTCCGGATGGATCACGACTGAATTTGTGAATTGCTTTGGGTGGTATGTACACTTTGCTGATATTAATGTTACTCATCTTAGGAATTGGAACATTTTCCCATTTTTTTGTGTGTGTGTCTTCTATTTGTTTAAACTTTGTAATTACTATAGATCGTTCTCATCAAAGACTTTTGCTGTACCACCATGGATCTATTTTCTTAGGTAATGAAACATAGCATTTCCCCAAGAGTATTTCCTCTGATATGCAATGAGGACAGTGATGTCAAGAGATATGAGGAAAGGGGGGAAAAAGGCCTCTCTTGAGGCTTCCAAGTAGGTACAGAGACCAAGAACGTGGGCCATCTTCTTATGCTTTCCCAGACACTTATCAGGGAGCTGGATTGGAAACCGGACAGCCAGAAATGAAGTCAGTGCCCATATGGGATTACAGCTAGTCAGGTAGTAGCTTAATCTGCTATGCTGCAAGACTGGCACCTAGTAACACTTCTTCTTACTCTGTCTTGCAGGGCTCCTCTACACCAGAACTGCAGCTTTCATGTGTTTCCACAGGGGAGGGCATTTTGCAAGGGTATTTTGCACAACCATTAAGCAATACTTTGATATGTCCACATCTCACATCTGAGTATGTGGTTTGAGTCCCAGCTGTTTCACTTCCAGTTCCATTTCTCAGTAACATGTGCCCTGAAAGGTAACAGGTAATGGCTCAAGCAAACATTTGGTCCTCAGCACTCACATGGGAGATCTGGGTCAAGTTCCAAGTTCCTAAAATTTGCTTCCTCTGCCCAGGGCATTGTAGGTATTTGTGGAGTCAAAAAGCATACAGAAGACATCTCTATGTCTCCCTCTCTCCATCTCTCTCTTTACCCTTAAAATAATCTATCAATATTATTTTAAAGAAAGAGAGAGAGGGGAGATGGCATGACAGCATAGTGGTTAAACTCCTCACCTTACACACACCAGGATTCCATACGGGCGCCGGTTCTAATCCTGGTGGCCCTGCTTCCCATCCAGCTCACTGCTTGTGGCCTGGGAAAGCAGTCAAGGACAGCCCAAAGCCTTAGGACCCTGCACCTGCATGTTATGTGGCTACCTAGGTCTAGGGGTTGAACTGTCTGCTGGCCTCAAGGGGCCTGGCATGGCTCAGTAGCTAGGCTCTAGTACTCACCTACAACAGACAGAGAAAAGTTCAGACTGCTGGCAGGGAGAGGTTCCTGTGTGGCCTTGGACACTTGAGCATGGGGTTTAAGGCTGGCATTGCAGTAGGATCTTCAGTCATGTAGGCAGCATACATGTACCTCCCTCTCCAACAACCAGTGCACCAATCACAATGAGATTTATGTGAGAAATATAGAGATCAAGGCCTATGGGTGATAAGAACAACTTCCTTCCTTACTGCTTCCCTCAATGCTCAATCATGCAGATGGCCCTGTAAACAATATCTTCATTTCGTTTTCTTCTGTTCAACCCTTGATAATAGTTTATAGCCAGCTAACCTTAGCCTTAACAATGATCACACATGCTATATTGGGCCAATTCTTTTTCTTTGTATTTAGTGTAGTGGGCCTCACATAGGCTATGACAAAACCTGTTATTCTTTGTAACTAATACCAGGTATCATGGTGAACCTTTGTTTCAGAACAGGAAATAAAGTTTTTGTGCCTTCCAAAATAATCTCTTTCATTTGTGGATTTATATCTTTACCCTTCTCACTATTTGTTGTTATAATTTGGAGGGGGGGGGTTTGTTCAGTTTTAGCATCCACAGAAGGTAGAATTGGTTCTGATATCTGCAGGTAGAAACGCATGAAAATTATTGGTATATAGATATCAAAGCTCTGAGTTATTTAGTTGCAAATATGTGGATTCCTCTCAGAGAAATATCTAGTATAAAAATCCAGTAATAAAACTTCTCTTTTTCTCTATTCCCAAGCTTGCTACTGACCAATGTAAAAAACAAACAAGAAAATGCATTTGACACTATGCTGAATTACCTTGTACCACACCACATCTGGCTCCTGATCAGACTTTTTGAAGTCATCCATGTCTGGGCATGAGATCTCCTTTCTTTTAGTGACTTCTGATTTTTCTAAATAGCGGATCCTGCTGTTGTAGCACAGTCCTGATTCATTCTCTGCCACAGTCAAGGACATTGACACCTTCATGCAATATGTTGAGTTTCTGTAAGAACGGAGAAATAACAAAATGGCTTTATTGGGTGTTTACAACTTGGTACTCTATATATTTCAAGAGTATTGACTTTTCCATTTAGGTTCTTACCTAGAAATTTGAAATAACATCAAAACAACATAGAGCAGTTTTCTACTTCAACTGTCAAGAAGTTATAAAATAAAATTCTAATATGTGCATCTTTGGCTATGATGTAGCTATAGAGCTCCACAGAGGATCACTTAAAAAATACCTAGAAGACAGACTTCTTTTCTAGCAATAGATATTGCTACATTGAAAATCTGATTATGAAAATCTGTGAGGAAAGTCTATCCTTGGAACAGCAGTCATGTCTACTCTGTCCCTATAACAATCCTTTTATTCTATTTCTTAAAAGATTTGATTATTGTCTTTTTACTTTAAAGGCAGTGACAGAGAAGAAGAAAGGATCTTTCATCTTCTTGTTCACTTGTCAAATGCCTACAACAGCCAGAGCAGGACCAGGCTGAAGCCAAGTGCCCAGAACTGCAGCCTGGTCTCCCACTTAGCTGACAGGAGTTCAGAGAATTGAACCTGCTTCCTCCTGTGGTACATATCATCAGGAAGTTAGATTAGAAATGGAGTATCTGGGGCTTGACTGAGGCACTCCAATTTCGAATGTGGGCATTCCAAGCAAAAACCTAACCAGTACCACAAAATCCCATCCCTTAGCTAATTCTTCAATATTTATTCAGAGCACATGCAATTTTGTCATTTATTTATCTTTTTTATTTATTAAAAAGGTGCAGAGACAAAGACAGACAGACAGAGATCTCAGATCAGTGGAATCACTTCCCAAATGCCTACAGTAGCCAAGTTTAGGAAAGACTTAATCCAGGAACTAGTGAGTCAATCCAAGTCTCCATAAAACTCTGACAGGGACCCTAGCACTTAAGTCATTCCCTGCTACCTCGCAAGGTATGCAATAGCAGGAAGCTGGAATCAGGAACAGAGCAGGGACTTGAAACAATGTACTGCAACAATATTGGATGCAGGCAACCCATCTAGCATTTTAAGTTAAACAACTTACCTTCATCATTGGTTTATAAATCAACAGGAAACATGTTGGAAGCCAGATAAACATACTCTGGGTACACATTAACCTTCACAGCTTTTACTAAGCTATGTCAGGGTCAAATTTTGGACTCTAATCAAAAACTAACTCAAGAGAATGTAATCAATCAGGATTGATTTTATCCAATGGCTCTATAAAGGAATTTCAACATGGAATTTTATTATAACAGTACTTTAGAAATTGGGCATTATCTGACTAACTCATTACATAATGATATTATGAACTCAAATTCTGCCTTCCTGTACCTTGCTAGAATATAGCTCAGTAATATTTCAATTTAAAAATTTAGTGAATTTTATGAACCACATAATATTTAGAAAATGCCTCAATTTCTCTATGTATACTTTATAACTTTGTCCCACAATCCTCTGGGCTCAAGATGTCAACCCATACGGGCCCGGCATGGTGGCCTAGCAGCTAAAGTCCTTGCCTTGAACACACCAGAATCCCATATGGGTGCCAGTTTTAATTCCGGCGGCCCATCTTCCCATCCAGCTCCCTGCTTGTGGCCTGGGAAAGCAGTGGAGGATGGTCCAACGCCTTGGGACCCTTTACCCATGTGGGAGGCCTGGAAGAAGCTCCTGGCGCCTGGCTTGAGATTGGCACAGCACCGGCCATTGAGGTTACTTGGGGAGTGAATCATTGGATAGAAGATCTTTCTGTCTCTCGTCCTCTCTATATATTTGATTTTGCAATAAAAATAAATAAATCTTTTTAAAAAAAGATGTCAACCATACAAAACAAAAATGAAAAGAATAAAGAAAACATCAGAAGCAGTTATATAAGGTTAAAAGGTCAACCGCAAATCTAGGTGGGGAACATTTGATACTAATATTACTCTATGGAAAGTATTCCAACTCCCATTTCTTTTCTCAACATGAAGGGATAAGTTGCCACTCTACAAAGTACAAGACACAACTATCAAAACCAAGTGTGTCTAGACTCAAGTAATAACTGTCATAGACTGAAATAGAATGCAGACCAGTAATTTTCAGACAGTCCTAAATTGCCAGAACTGCTCCTATTATTTAATATTCTCTGGTGGATATTTCACTATATCTCAGACATAATATAAAACAGAAAAGCACAATTGGATAAACCCACTGGGTCCATAAACTAAGTTAATCAAAATGATTTCTACTTAGGTTTCTAATAAAGTTAATTACTGTGCAACACTTCTGATTCTGCCGGGACCTCTGACATATGATTCTATCAAAAGGCTCCAATTCCCATGCTCAGACACAAATTTTTGCACTGTGTGGATTTATGTGTTGTTGTTTTTCTCCCTTCCTCAGTGTGGCTTCCTCTAGAAGCCAAAGAGCATAAAATAATTCTACTGGGTACAAAATGAAAGAAATTATCATACACTTCTTAAATGTTGGAGAGCCTCTTTAAAGTCCACAAAGCTTAAGCTGCAACATCAAGAACCAGGAGCAAAAGGAGGAGAAAGAGGAAGAGGAGAAGTTGTCTCAAGGAAGAAGGTCTGCCTCAATTAATTTAGCTCTTCGTGACCACGTCTGCAGTACTTTAGGGCTAAACATTCTTAAGTATCCTTGCTTTCTACCAGGCCATACATGAGGTGGCCCATCATAACACTCTCATCTTCACTATTATATTGTGGACATACTGGAATTTTCTCTGTGCTTTGAATACAATATTCAAACCATAGGTCTTTGTACTTGATTTTCACACATGTCTTCTAACATTTCTTAATTGAGCAAGTGCAAGCTCATGAGGCCAAGAAATCTGTTGGTCTTGCTCATCACTGTATGTCTAAACAGACAGGAGGTTCTCAATAAATATTAGCTGAGTCTATGAATAGGCATTAAAAGGTACATACTGAAGAGATATGTCATCTCTGGTCCACTTATGTGTCAACCTCCTATGGTACAAACTATGCCCTTTTCTTTAGATACAGTTTATCCCAAACCACATTCCTTCCATGACTCATGCAGTTGGCAGATATTCTTGGACCATCACTGAGGGAAGGACTAGATAATGTCTGTGCTAATACAATTACATAGTGGCTACCTCTGGGAGATAAGGTATACTAGATCAAATTAAAAAATAGAGGGAATATACCTAGTTACAGTTTCTAAGTGGTATCTGGCACAAAAGGAAGAAAATGGTCTGTACTGAATATTCAAAGTATTTCCAATGATTTTTTCATGTTACAGGCTTTGATTATATCTGCTCCATGATATTTATCCATACATGGGACTCAGCCATACTTATCATTCTCACTACGTTAATCCTCACAAAAGATGGTTCACCACAGGTCTGAATAATGGAAGGGTAGATAGAATGTCCAATATCGCAAAAGATGTTGACTCTCCAAAATGTATTGAGCCATGAGCAGAAAATGAGAATACACTAAGGTAAAACATCAATCTAGCTACAATAGTGATTATTTAAGAAACGATCACACCAGCTTTGAAATAAGATCTACTAGTTCAACTAGCTCTATGACCTCTGATAAGTTATTTAAACTTTCCAAGTCTCTATTTCTATAGCTCAACAATGAAGATAACATTCTCTTTATTGTGACCCTATTGAAGTTTCTTTAAATATAATCTTTAAACATAATCAACAATGAACCAAAGCAAGCTTAGATTTTAGTTGGAATGTTTATGATACCTTATCTCTTTAGTTCATTTTAAGTGTTAAATAAATAATACATATAAAGCATAGAAGAGAGTATCTGGCAAAATGTTAAGTATTCAAATAATTTTACCTATAATTACAGCTCTTAGTGCTGCTAGTATTACTATATGAATGTTAAAAATAACTATATTTTACTTGTAACATGATAACCATAAGCAATTACCAGCATAATAAATAATAATAGTAATAATAATAGGCTATAGGTCACTGAGTTGAGAGTACTACCTGACAGAAAATTGTTTAGAAGAGATCAGTTTGACAAGAGAACTAGGGCCAAAGAGCCATTTAGGGGTCAAAAGAATATACGAATTTATGTACCAAAAGAGTTTTTTTTTTTTAAAGAAAACTGCTAAGGCAGAAAGGAACTCCAACTTACAACAAATATTACTTATAATGCAACACCCAGAGCCCTGCAGGTCAAAGAGCTAATAACAATTCCACTCAGCTTTCTGGGATCTTCTTCCATAATAAAACCTGGACCTAAAGTGATATTTGGAGACACCAGACAAGAAATCCTTAAGTGTTCACTCTCCAGAGTCTGCAAAGCATAAATGATACAGGTCATACCCAAAGCACTGACACAGAATTGGGGTATCAATAATGGCAGTGGACCTAAATTGGGGATGGATGACATGTGGAAGGAGGAAGTATTTTATTTGTCTTTTACGCTTAACCATGAACAACCTTGGGCTGAGGACCGAATGAATTCGCTCTCACTCTGGTAGCAGCCATATGAATGGCTGCTGACAAATTGCTTGTCAACCCATGAACAAGCCCTAGAATGAAGCCATTGATGATGACCAACATCCCTGGATTCAAAGATAAGGTCTGGCTTGAGTCCTGCTGTCACCATGTCTGACCTTGTAGAGGTGTGATCAAGGTTGCCTGACAACCTGAGATTCAGGTTGATTTTTATTAACCATGTAATCTAGCATTGGCACAGTTCCTACTTAACAATCTTGCATTATTTAGATTTTATTTTGAAAAAACTGCCTTAGGCCAGTGCTATTTAAAACGTTTCCTGCAACTGGGACTTAAAAAATGCTACTTTCTTTCATTAGATACAATTAGAGCTGTGTAAGGTTGAGGAGGCTGACTGACAGGTAGGTAGGAATGGGGATTGATTTTTTTTTTTCCTTTCCTTTCCCCTTCTTCACATGCTGAGGATGACAAGGAACACATTCAGGCTTCATGTAAGCAAATGGCCTTTGCAGTGGTGTTTCAGAAATGACTT